ACATACTTCCTCCAACAAGGCCACACCCCCTAATAGTGCTACTCCCTAAGGGCCTATGGAGGCCTTTTTCATTCAAACCACCACATACACATACAACGTGCTCACCTTCCATTGTCCTTTGGTCACTGTAAATCAGCTCTGATATGGGGCCTGTTTAGGAAAATTGTCCTGAATTTACAAGTTAGTAGTATCGTGGAGAGACTGACTGCTTCCGAGTTGAGTCCCTGATTAGCAAAAACAACAAACATCTTTTCTCAGACTGCATTAAATCTGTTCCGTGACTGACCAGATGACATTAAAGTATACCTTTAAATTCACCTTGACTTTTTCTTTTTGTTTTTGAGACTGGGCTTTTCTGTGTAGCCTTGTCTGTCCTGGTGAAGACAAGGCTGGCCTCGAATTCACAGAGATCCACCTGCTTCTGCCTCCCTGAGTGCCGGGATTACTGGTGTGTGCCGCTGTGACCTTTTCTTATCACTGAGAAATGTATCAGAAACTCTTACTATAAAACAGGTTGTGGTGGCATGAGCCAGTAATCCCAGTGTTCGGGAGGCTGAGCAGGAGGTTCATGAGTTGAGAACCAGTTTGGACCATGTATGAAGTTTAAGGTCAGCCTAAGCTACACAGTGAATCATTATGTGGGAGTGGAAGGGGATGGAGCGGGTTGCAACAGATCAAATAATTCTCACTGTAATTTTATCTACATCAAGCTCCGTTTGTCCTTGGCGAGAATTCTGGCTTTGTGAACTTGGCTTTCATTTTTGGAAGTTAATGTGTTTTTCAGGCCTGCTTTGTGGATTGTATTGTGTTCAAGTCTGTATTATTTATGTTTTAGAAGAAACAGTCAAGAGATGGGATGTCTTTTCTTACAGTCCTAAAATTAATAAAGACAGTTTTTTACAAAACAGTACGATTCAGACATTTAGAGGCAATGTGCCCTGGCAGCCTTGACGCTGGTCCCTGTGCTTTCTGTCTTGGCACACACGGAATGGTTGGTAGGAGGGTCTTGCTCCTCAGCCTGCTGATGACGGTGAGCACACCTCCCCCGGTGTCCAGTGGTCCTTGTCCTTATGGCATCAGGCTTTTAGAAAGAGTGGGTAAAATGAGACTTACTGTAAACGCTAGGGCCTTGGGAGTCTTGGTCTGTTTTCTGATGCTACAACAGAACATGTAGCAGATATAGAGAGGCTGAATCAGCCCAGTGAACTGGCAGCTCTTTGCTGCATCACAGTATGGCAGAGGAGGAAGGAGAAGTGAGAAAGGATGAGGCCACTGCTGTGACGATGGCCAGTTTCCATGTCCCCCTCAAGCCACCTCCTGAAGGTCCTGTCACATCTCAGTGCCATTACACTTCCCAAGGGTCAGGCTTCCACCAGGTGGGCCTTGAGGGGATAAACGACACCAGAACCTTAACAGAACCACATCCGCACCGTGGCAAAACCTTAGCTGCCCTTAGGCCCCCTTCCTGTGTGCCAAGGGGTGCATAACAGCTCTCACTTACCCCGTCACACTTTCAAGTGTGAGACAACAAGGTGAGTTCTCCCTGCCTTCAAGGGAAAGGCAGTGTAGTTAGTATACAAAGTACAGGGGCCAAATGGGCAGGAGAAGATTTTATCCTGTAGTCTTGGCTCTTTTCTATCTCTGGACTGGACTGGAGTAGCCTGGTTTACTTGCCCTTACTGAGCTTAGTACATTTCTAAGGCCTGTGTTTTCAGACAAAGACATTGTACTAAACAGCTAGAAAAGTCCTTAGTTTGCTAGGGCAGGATTATGAAAAACTCCTCAAGATATTGTGGGGGGGGGGGAGCAGAGAGAGAGAGAGATAGAAAGATAGAGAGATGGACAGAGAGAGAGACGTATGCATGTGTGTACCTCTGTGCCGTATACACGTGGAGGTTTAGAGGTTGGCATCAGATATTGTCCACTATCGCTCTACCTTATGTTTTGAGGCAGGGTCTCTGACTGCCTCTGGACCTGGCCAATTTAGACCGACTGGCTAGCAAACCCCAGTGATCCTACTGTCTCCACCAATCAGTCTCCAAGTGCTGGATTGTAAGCATGTCTCACCACACTTGGCATTTTACATGGGTGCTGTGGATTTGAACTCAGGTCTTCATTCTTGCACAGCAAAGCACTTATGGGCTGCAATAGCTCAACCATCAACATATTTTTAATATTAATATTCTATGTGTCATTTTTTGTAACTTTGTATGTCTTTGTCTTACCCTAAATTTTAAATCATTTATGCTTAAAAGTTTCTCTTATAATCAGTGCGTGCCTGGGCTTGGAGAGAGAGGGGATGGCAGGAAACCATGACAGCTACAATGTTCTCTGGAGACGCTGTCTTTGACAGAGGGATTCACACTCTTCCCTGTTGTCTTTGCTGCTGTTTATTATGCTTGGAAGTTTTTTACTTTTCTCCTTGATTCTTGCTAGCTTGGTTCGCTTTCTCATCACCCATCTTCATCCCTGCTGTTAGGATTTAGGCTTATCTGTTTATCAAGGAGGGCTTATCTCTCCCTCTCTCCAGACAGCAGAGCTAGGTCCAGGCTCCTGACATGTTGCTCTGACATTTTCTAGGGCTGTGGTTTTCACACTTGAGCGTGTATAAAGCTCGCTGAAACACATATCTAGTCCCTGGGTGCTGACTGGGGCATGTGCCTGTGTGACTGTCTGGGTATGCATACGTAGATGAGGGTTTAGTTCTGGCAGGTGCCGGGTGTGTTGGTGCATCTAATCGCAGGTCACAGGTGAGTGATGCTGTCTCTGCTTCCTTCACCTTCGTGGTCCAGATCACCCCACTCTAATCCTCACTGGCAGGCTCTGCTGAGCCGATGGAGAGGCTGGGAACATGGCTCTTGGGGCTGCCATGTGCCAGGTTCTAGTGAGTGTTCTGTTCCTAAAAGAAAGACAGGGCAGATGGTTGAGGGGTAACAGAAGGATTGGGAACACCATGCACTTCTCTCCTTAATTTGAAACTAATGTTTATCCTCTGCCATTGGCTGAGCTGGCACTGAGCTGTATGTGGTAGCAGCTGGAAGCCAGCAGGGCATGCACCAGGGCAGCTCCTTCCCTGGGGGTCAGGGAGTGTGCTGGCAGGCCTCTATTCCTTGCTGATACTTGAGAGTCCTCAGCCTCCTCTTAAGAGACCAGGCCTGTTAACTCACACTGCGATCTGCCCTAGAGCTACCCTCAGGCCGTCTGTGAAACCAGGGGGCCCTTCCAAGACCCAGCTTTGGGATGGAGAGTTCTTGCTATGCCACCTTCTCCCTGGTTGCTGTCTTCAACCCCAAGTATGACATGTAGGGCACTCTTGTTCTGGCAGCAGTCCTGTATGCCCTGGCTGAACTGAGGCTGATGGTTGCTGTGGCTCCTCACATCCATGAGAGATGAGATCTGTGGCTGCCCACTCCAGTTTCTCTGCTGTCACTCAGTTCCCGGGAACAGATAATGCGTTGTGTATGACTCAGTGATGTGGGAGTTGTTGGGGGAGGTCACCATCACCTCATCACTTTGGTTTCCTCAGGTTGACACTCATGGCTCCCAACTTTATCTCCAGCCTGAGAGAGTGAGATGTAGCCCAGGGTACACAGTGCCATCTTGGGCTAAAATGCGCTGGACATGAAGTCAAGGGATATGGTTTTAGGCCTTGCCCTGTTCCCTAGGCAGCCCTGAGAACTCGGGCTGGTCTCTCCTGCTTCCTAGGCCTTGGATCCTACCGAATAAAATAAGCTGCTAACTCAAATGATCTCAGTGATGCAGAATTCTGAGGCAATCCAAATGCCACTGCGGATTGGCTTTCTATTTCTAAGAAGGTTCTTTCAGATTTCTTCCCTCAAGCTCAGTTTCTTGGTAAGGCCCGAGTGATTGCTGTGGCCACTCTCCTGCCAGCTTTGCCCAGAATTTGTCTAGGTTGGGCTGCCTAGGAGACAGTCTTGGGTGGTGGCGTCTGCTGCGAAGCTTGGAGAATGATTGATGTCAGCTTTGCTATTTTTAATTCCTGGTGTGTGGGTGGGGAACTGAATGCTTGCCTCCACCTTCTGTGGGCTTTTTGTGTGGGCTCTGAGAAAATGCTGTCAGGGTTGGTGGTTGCTGTCCCAGGGCTCTCTGGCTGTGTCAGTCACTTGATGACCCCCACGACCCATGAAGGTGATGTTAGTGCCCCATGATCACAGAGTGTGGGAGTCAGAGGAGCCAGGATGTTCCTGCATCTCACATCATTTAGGGTCCTGTTTGGGATGGGAGAGAGAAGGGAATCTTCTAGATGGGTACTGCTTGTCCCCCAAATTCCAATAGGCCGTCAGGGCAGATACCAGCCAGAATGAGGAGAGATGAGTCAGGAGATGAGGAGAGATGAGTCCTAAGCAGGATGCAGCTGTGTCGAAGATCCCAGCGCCAACTCTGCTGGGCAATGGTAGGAAGCAGCAAGAGGAGGCTTATTCAGGGCCTGCAGCACCTATCATCTCCCCGGGAGGCCCAGTGCAAGCAATTCTAGCACTGTCTGAGCCTTGTTTCCTAGTGTATAAAAAGGGGTGGTAGTATGGTATGCATCCATGAGATTACTAGGAAGGCTAATGAGATGTTTAGTGAGGAAATGTACATGCATGCCCATCCTAGGAGCTAGTAGAAAGGGTGACTGAGAACATGCTAGCCTGAGTGCTGGGAGAGTTCCAGAAAGAGCCATCACTGTGAGTGGGAAGAACACCCCCAAAGAGGTGGAACCCCACCTCTTTGGCCTCGGGGGAGGCTGGTAGACCACAGGGTGAGCAGCCGTAGGAGCATCTGACCAGTTGTCTAAGATGGGAATTGCCAAGCTTGGCTAAGTAGGGACATATATTTCCTGGCTTCTTCCTGTCACATACATACCTTGAGGGCTCCTTTGGACCTCCTGTCTTTTTGCTGTTCTTCATTGGCCCAGTGTAACTCAGTTCAGAATGTCACCACTGAGGGCCTTGACCAGACAGAGAATCTTACTCCTGATTGGTCTGTGTTTTCTCTAGGGACTTCCTTTCAGTTTCTGGCAGTGTGGTTGGCCTTTGCACCGAGAAGAGTTGAACCGGTAAGTGGTGTTTAAACCCCCGAGGCTTCTCTGCAGGGCTGAACAATTGTGTCTTTCAGAAGGCACTAAATTCCCTGAGTGGATGAATGGGCAATGTGTGCCCCATAGTGCTATTGGATCAGGGTCTCTGTAGGCCTTGATCTCAGCCTATGCTCAGTCCCTTACTGCTGCAAGAGGGTGTAGAGGTGCCTTTCAAAGGAGAAAGATGGCCTCTGTGGCTTAACAAGGGCCCAGTCCTCTTGTTTCATTTCTAAAAAGGTTTAAGTCACAGATTCTCTTAACGACCCTCCTGTTTCCCCCAAAGAAGCAGCTCTGAGCTACAGAACCCTACTGATGGTGGCTCCAAAACCTTCATGAAGCCCCGGCTGCCTGGGATAGGTGTGGTCAAGGAATCCCAGAATCTGGGGCTACCTGAGTCTACCAGAGAGAAGTGGAATCATCACACCCTGGTATAGCCCCAAGACTACAGTCCACCCTCTCAGGCTTTACCCCGACCCCACAGGGGAAGGAAGAATGGCTCTGAAGTATTGTGTGTGTTTTCTGGAAGTGCCCATGGTGATCAGTCCCCTGTCGTGAGGAGTCTAGCCCTAATGGGTCATCCTCTTCCAGGGGCAGGGCTGCAGAAGCAGCTGTTACTAACCCCTGCTGAGCTTTAGGCCTTCATCTCCGCATGTCCTAGTGGGCTTGGGTAGGGGTGGGGAAAGCTCCAGGAGCCATAGGGCTTGGTCACACTGGCATAAAATAAGGTGTTGGATATTGTAGCTCAACTGTGCTGATAGTAGTCCTTTTTAGTTAGGGTCCCTGTCATATGTAGCGCTTACTGCTGCGTTATAAAACGTGCATAGTTTATGGAAAGAGAAAAGTCAAGTGTATTGGTCTGAAGGGCTTACAGTGAAGCCAGCTGCTTCCAGACCCACCCTCCCCACTGTGTACCTCTGTATAGGTAACTGTTTCTCCTTAACAATATCTTTATTTAAATGATAGCTTGTAGTTCTGTTTGTTAATTTACTTGCTGACTTGCTGCTTGGATAGATAAGGAATCCATACCTAATTAGTATTTAATTTTTTCATTATTATGACTGTAGAATGTTCTCAATGTTGCCTCAGGCGACTTGTGTGGGCAGGGCTACGGAGCGAACTTCCTGTTCCTGCAGTGACTCATCCCTCCCCTCAGGCTTGAGTTTGTGCGTATCACCAGTTGCTCTGAGGTGGACAAGTTGCTCTCTCTGAGTCTGTCACTCAGCTGTCATGTTGGTCTTACTTTTAAATTTTTCTATTTTAGATTTATTTGCATGCTCACTTTGTCTTAGGAATTCCTTCCTAATAAAACTGGATGGGTGGTAGGGTGCTTTTTGTTTTTGATCTTTTAGGAAAGGTCTGTGGCATCCTGTTTATAGATGGGTGATTTAGCTGGCTGTGGGAACAAAAAGCTGAAAACAATTTCTTTTCCGAAAGTTGAAGGAAGGAGCTGTTGTCGTCTAGCTCCCCGCAGTAGCTGAGGGCTCCAGTGTCAGTCCATTTTCCCCTGAGGAACCTTGGCTCCTTCCTTTTCTGGAAGCTGGTAGTGGTAGACTCTGCCTCTGAGTTCTCAAGTGTCAGGTGGAGGAGCTTTGCTGAGGGTGTCTTTTCAGGCACTGGACACGTATGCTCCCTCTTGAGGTCTTGATCAGTGTTCTCTGCTGTCAGTCACCATTGCCAGTGTTCTTACTATTATCTGTGTGTGCACAGGAGCCAGAAGAAGACACTGAATGGCCTTCTCTGTCACTTTTTTCTGTTCCTCGAAGCAAGCAATGTCTTTGACCAAATTTGGAGCCGGCTGGCAGCCATTAGGTCCCACAGGTCCTTTTGCCTCCACCCTACCTTCCCACACTGGGCGTACAGACACATACATGCCATGTTGAGCTTTGTATGTGGGTGCTGGGGATTTGAACTTGAGTTACTCATGCTTGTGCCGTAAGTATCCTTCCCCGCTGGGACAGCCCCTAGCCTCACAGTGTTCTTGTGCTATCACTGATTTTCTTGCTTCAGTTTTTCATGTCCTTCCCCTTTGGATTCATTTTAGATTGTACTGTTCCTACATCCTTTTATACCTATTTGTGATGGTTCGTGCTTTTTGTTTGTGTGTGTGAGAGTATGTGTGGGCACATGCTCTCAGGTGTCCCTCAGGGACACTCAGTGGAATCTGGTGTTCATCTAGGTTAGGTTGCCTGGCTGCCTAGTAATCCCCAAGGATCCTCTTGCCTCTGTCTCCCCAGCACTAGAACTCTTAGCATAGGCCACCATGTCTGACTTTTAATGTTAGTGCTGAGGATGAAACTCTGGTCTTTATGCTATATAAAAAAAGCTTTATTGACTAAAACCTCTTCCTAACTCCTACTTGTTTGCTTGCTTGCTTGCTTTGCTTTGCTTTTTTTTTTTTTTTTTTTTTGATAAGAGCTCATGTAGCAAAGGCTCGCCCTAGACTCACTATGTACCTAGGCCCTTGACCTCCAGATCCCCCTGCCTCTGCTTCTGAGTGCTGGGATTACCAGCATGGCCCACCACACAGAGAATGGGATTTATTTAATTAACCTAGAGCACAATGCAATAGTTATTCCATCCTAAACCTCCAAGCCCATATAGTTTCCTCCCATTCAGGTTTTCTCGCCACGTGGTTCCAAGACCTTTCCTCTGGATCCCCACTCTCCTCCCACACCCAGCTTTTTGTTGCTCTTTTTACTCCAGATTTTTCTTGGCTTGCTTTTCTAAACTTCCTGTGGAATGGTAGGGTTTGTTTGTTTTTCAGTCCCCTTATATACACATGTGTTTGCTACTGATCTGTTGAACTTTGCGGCTCACTCTCACTCTTGAATCAGAGCTACTGGCATCAGAATTGATTTCTTTGGGATTCTGGTGTAGACATCCAGCCTCGTGGACTGAACAACTACTGGATTCTTGGGTTTTCCATTGGTGCACAGCCATTGTTGGACTGGCTGGACCACAGCCTGTAAGCCATTCTGATAAATCCCTTTCCTATTATGTGTATAGATCCATTCTATAAGTTCTGTTCTTTCAGAGAAACCTGACTAATACACTTATTATTACAAAAAATCATTTTAAGGGACTGGAGAGGTGGCTCTGAGGTAAAGGTCAGTATTGCTTTCACAGAGGACTTGGGTTTGCTTCTTGGACACACATGACAGCTCACAACCATCTATGACTGCAGTTTTAGGGGATCTCTTCTATTTTCAGTTTCCAAGACACTTCACTGCTTTGTAATTGTTTCGTGTGTACAGTATTTTCTTACTGTTTTGCTTTCTGGGTAGATTTCCGCTATGTCTCTGAGCGTATTAATTGCACCCCTCCCTTTACTTGTTATCAGCTGCTCTTTGCCCTCCATCCTTCCCTTGTTTCAGTCTCTCCTGCTCTTATTGGCGATCTTGGTCTGTTGTGCTGTGATCCTTTGTTGTCTGTGCACACAGACAGTGAGTCCTTGGGCAGGTCTCCGGCAGGGCTTTATGCCACCTCTTTACCTTGTATAAAAGCACTTTTTAGCACTCGGCATCTGTAGCTCATCGCCCTTGCTTCAGACATTGAGGCCAGCTAAGAAGACTTCTTCCTTCTTCCGAGCCTTTGATGGAAGGGAGCATCCCGGTGAAGTGGGTCCCTCGTGAGCCACAACCTGTGCTGGCGCCTCTTCCTTTGCATCATAGCACTTGGCACAGAGGCAGGAGGTTCCGGTCTTGGTCCACTGCTGTGTCATGGTGGCATGCCACTTCCCCTCCCTGGCTGTCAGTTTCTCCATATGTAATCAGAAAGAAGAGGCACAGTGAGCAGGAGTAAACCGACTCACCTCGCAGGGCCGCCCTTGGCTTACCAGCTGGGCAGCATGCTCTGTTTCTGCATGCATAAAACAGGTGCCTAGTTCTTCCCTTCCCAAAGCATTTGCATTGCTGCCTGGGTGTGTTGCCTGGCCACAAGGAGCCCAGCTCTTATTGTGGTGACTCACGGCGACCATGGTGACTGTTGATCTATAATACAAGTGAGCAAGCCTCATGTGAGCTCCTCCTCCAGGCAGGACGGAGCAGTGGCTTTTTACCCTTCTTGTGGTCTAAGGGGTTTGATGCTTCTCTTGTCAAAGAGACTGGCCAGGCTGTGTGGCCTGGTTGTAGACCTCGGACAAGAAAGGGCTGGAGGAGTGGAGAGGTGGCTGCTGTGTGAAATTTACTAGTTTTGCTGATTGTAGGTTTGTAGTTCAGTGGCATTAATATTCACCATCATCCACTTCAAGAACTTTCTCATTGTCCCAAGCTAACTTCCCATTTAACAGATCCCTCCCTCCCCCCATTGCTCTCTTGCCCCAGCTCCTGCAGCAGCAACGTCCTTCTGTCTTTGAGTGGAATCAGGCAGTGTTTATCTTTCTGTGCCTGGCTTATTTCACATAGCTTACTAGGTTTAAGTTCGTCCATGGCATAGCATGTGTCAGGATGTCCTCTGTTTTCTTTGTGTTTATCTCTGACACTTGAGTTGCCCCCACTTTTGGACTTGGACTTGTGGGTAATGCTGCTAGGTGAGAGAGGTTCCTCAAACACCTGTGCAAGGTCTTGCTTTTGTTTGCTGGGTCTTATGATCGTTCTGTTTTTAGTTGTTTTGCTCTCTACAGTGGCTGGCTTTTTACCTTATAGTTCATCATCTAGCAGTTTGGTTTCACAGTCTAGTCTTATAACTCTCACGGAGGGACAGTCAAGATTGTCACAGGTCAGCCATTCTGTGTGGCCCGTTCCTGTACAGGTAGAGCCATTGTTTGCTCGGTGTTGTCTTCACTGGTGTTTTTACCCCTCTATAGAGGGGAAAGAGCCTCCACTTTCAAGAGTACCTGCAGTTGGATTGATCTCTTCTGGGCAGTCCAGAATTGTACCATGCTCATCCAGCTGGTGATATCAGTCACAGTGGACTAGCTCTTTTGCTATAGGAGGCAACATTTTCAGGTTCCGGGCACTGGGGCTGAGGACTGTATGAAG